ACTTAAATATATATATATATATATATATATATATATATATATATATATATATATATATATATATGTATGTACATATATATGAATATATATACACACATACATACGTACATTCATAAATACATGTATTATATGACTATACCTATCTATATATACATATAGATACACAGATAGATAAATAGACAGAAAAATAGATATAGAGATAGATAGATAGATACAGAGATAAATAGATATAGATACATAGATATGCATATATATACATATATGTATGTATATATGGATATGTATATATAACATACTAATTATATCATAGTACACTTGTCTTAGACCATAAGTAGACAGCAATACTACATCAGCCGCGTTCACAAAGACGCCTTTCTTATTTGGATGTGGCGCCTCCTAGGCCTTGGAATCCCGTTTCTTAAAGGAATATTCCAGATAAACGTTTTCTTTGGTTGGTCTATCTTCTTAAACCAAAAAAACAAAAACAAATGATAGATAGATCCCTTGGAAGGATGCCTTTTATTAATGAACCGCGTTTGATGAGATTATTTCTAAACGTTTAGATGAGATTATTACAAGACGGGGGTTTGCGAACGCGGCTTGGGAGGGGGGGAGGGGGAGCCAGGGGGTTGTCAGCTCCTCCCCCCTCCTCCCTCCCCCCCTACACGGTGTTGTCAGCTCCCCCTCAATGTTGTCAGCTCCGCACATCAGCATGGCCGCACACTAGTTTGTAGGATTACTGTCTCTCTTTGCCATACGTTTCACCAACTATTATCGCTCCCCTCCGCCTCTGATTTCATCTCAACCTTAAGTCCACCTCTAACTCTCTGGGTTGACGTGAAGTGAGAGGCCAGAACATTAAGGTGAGTCCGGGGAAATAAAAGAAAAGAGGGAGAGAGAGAGAGGGAGAGGACTCGCCTTGTCGTCTGCATTGGAGGGTGACAAATAAACCGCTCAGCTGATGCAACGGACTCGGGGGTTTTATTAATGGTTTTGGGGAGGATTGGCATGGATAAAGGGGGTTAAAGGGGGTTGGTTGGATGGGGTGGTGGGTGAGGGGGGGTTGACATGGGTGTTAGGTCGTGGTTGACGAGTTATTGCTGAGATGATCGGGGTTTTGTGTCCCCGCTCGAGGTTTTAATTTTTGCGAGGGTCTTATGGTGAATAATGTGTTTTATAGTTTTTTTTTAGGGTCTGATATATAATCAATAGAATGTCTGTGATTAATTATGCCTTTTGTAGTGTTTAGCTATCAGGAATAACCGTTCACACGAGCACCACTCTGCCTAGCCTCCGGGAGGGAGAAATAGCTCATTTAGAAGTCATTGGAATCTAGTTTTTAAATATTTTTCGATATATGTATAATCATCTCGCTGTCTGTTAAAATTAAGAACAACCCCATTTAGAACTTTGTCAAACTGCCATGACTCAAGTTCTCCGATCAGAAGACAGACCATGACAGGTAATGGTAGCGTATATATTAGCTTTTGATTTGAACGCCGGAATCTAATTTTAAATCGTGCTTTGCTTATAATTCCAAGTCAGAGAGATGAGGAAATCCAGCACGGCTAATCAATAGCAAATAAATTAAAAGATTAGAAATGAATAGATAAAATTAAAAATGAAAATTGATAAAAGATCAGAAAATTAAAATAAAGATAAGAAAGAGATGCTTGCATGGCTTCTTTTTAACAGTAGCTGAATGTTGAGGCTTTATCAGACTATAATATCATTTTTAGTTAGAAAGGGGAGACCTGCACCTGACTTCTCACTGCCACAGGTTATTATAAGTATTTCCCTGTGAATTCAAGCTGGACAAAAATGTAACTTGTGGAAAGACCTTTTTGCAGTGCTGAAGGTCATAAAAACTGTTTTATATTTTAAAATGACTTTTGATAAGATTTTGTTTGATATTTGATTTATATTTTCTTATTGCTATTTCATCATTTACTCAGTTCTGACAGGTGGCATGTAAATGTGTACCTTGGCATTAAGACTCCTTTCAAAGTCACGTGTACTTGCATGCCACGCCTGTCGAACCTGTTCTAAGTTTTGTGCGCTTAATGCTTGTTTGGCCATGACTCCAGTCACTGAAGAATTTGTTCCTCAAAAATAGGTTTAAAGTTACTTTTTACCCTGGTTTCTTTAAAATCGTATAGGCTGCAGCCAAAATTGTTGTGAGTAGGTAAATTATATGTTTCCAATTTTTCTTTCAAGTGGCTGACAAAGTGAGGCACCTAGCACATGGCTCAGTGCATGAAACTCTAGGTAGCATTAAGTTGATATTTTTTAACTTACTGCTGATGGGTATCTCAGGCATGATATCAAGCCATGTATTGGGCACAGTGTGCAGTCAACAACCCAAAGGAACGCAAGAAACATATAATCTTGGCAGAAGTCTCCTTTTGAGGGGCTCCATATCCTCAGTGACCAGGCTTGTCTCAAATAAATTACTGTTTAACACACATCCAAGAGCATACTCAACTGTGTGACATGGAGA